GCAAAATGGCTCCCCGCTGTGTTTTAGGACGGATTCCTCGCTTTACAGGCACCGAAAATGGCTGCCCTTTGGAAGATCTTCGCTGGACGCTGAGGTATTTAGCCCATTGGAACGCATTGAACTGGTTTTCAATGCATTTCAATGGGCTTTTTTGTTTCGCTTGACGAGGATTTCGCTTAACAGCGATTTCAATGGAACAAATTATCCTTGTCAAGCAAGGCACAACTGTACATACATACATACATACATACATACATACATACATACATACATACATACATACATACATACATACATACATACATACATACATACATACATACATACATACATACATACATACACACACACACACACACACACACATGACCTAATAGGATTCTAGCCAATGTTTTTGAAACAGGACAATGTAAAAACCCCGAGAAAGGACCTGTGAGAGCTGTCCATCATCACCCTATTTATTTGAAAACCCTCAGCTGATAAATGAGCAGCAGCTCATCTCTTTCAAAACCATTTATCTAATACATACATACATACATACATACATTCAAAACCATTTATCTGCCTAAATTAAGGACTCCCTTCCCACCCATCTGCCTTTTTAAAGGCATTTTCAGGGAGGACTGGGAAGTAAGAAAAGAAACTGAACTCTCATCACCCAGCTGGGGAAAATATGTCATGAGGAGATCAAGAAACAGACCCGAAGAAGCTTTTAGTGTTAATATCCCTTTATCTTTTGTGTTCTTATCCTTTTACTCTTCCGCTGACAGCTGAGCACCTATTTCTTCAAGCAGACTTTTAGTTCTCATTGATTCTGTCCCTGAACACCTTCTGAGAATTAAGATGGTTTCAGTGTTTACTTGCTTTTAATTATTCAATTGTATTTTAATCAGCATATAGTTTAGTGGTTTTTTTCCCCCCCAAAAAATTAACTTATGATGTTTTCAATTATATTCCTTTTAATATGGTGAGATGCCTTGGGCCTCTCCTTATCGGGAGAAAGGTGGCATTCAAATCACACAAACAAATAAGTAAACAGAATGAAACAAAGTCTGCAACCTGTGGAAAATAGACGCCTTTCCAATGGATAGGTCAACATTCAGATAACAAGGATCAGAGCAGCTGGAGTCCTAGTATATGGGCTGTAAAATTAAGAGCTGATTTCAGACCAGTCAAGTGTTCTGAATATAGTGTAGGCATCCTTCAGTCTCGAGAGACTATGGTCACGTGCTCTGTATGGAGGTCTTGGAACAGCATCTAGTGCGGCTGAGAAGGCCAATTCGAGAGTGGCAATCCTTTCCACACTGAAGACAAATACAAGCTGTAGCCTGTCCAGCTCCCTGATTTTGCTGCTTTCGTGACTGCCTCTTTTCCTCGGCCTGCTGGACAAGGGTCTCTTCAAATTGGGAGAGGCCGTGATGCACCGCCTGCCTCCAGGCTGAGCACTCAGACATCAAGGATTCCCATCTGTTGAGGTCCATTCCTAAGGCCTTCAGATCCTGCTTGCAGATGTAGGTTCAGCAATCAAAGAGGGACAACGTGAGCCAGAAAACATTTCGAAAGGCTTCCAAGAAAATGCCACGATCCCATCCTTCCTTCCAACCCTCCTAAGTGAACATGTCCAGCTCTTTCCATTGCCCTCACGGACAAAAGCCCTTACTTGCGTCATTGCATAGGACAAAGCTGATGGGCAACGTAGGGTTACAACGTGCCTCCTCATTGAGAAACCATGTGAATGAGGCAGCGACCAAAATGAGCAATGTTGTGATCACTAACTAGCTCCTAGAATCTATTCCAAGAGTCAGTTTATTGTTAGCTTCAGAGCACTGTGAAGTGCCCTAATGGGTACATTCAGAAGGAGGCAACCCTAACATTTCAATGCCCTCTGTGCGCCAATTAATTCCAAATACACTGCTTTTGAAAATTAACTCGTCTGCTTTCTATACAGCAATTCTTTAATGTTAATGTTGAGACTGAAAAGCAATGTGAATAGAATGAGAGGTTGGACACATTGGTTTTTTTTGGGGGGGGGCTCCAACCTGTTAAAATTCCAAAATTCCATAGCCACCCTGGTTATGAAGGAATCTGTGGGAGGGGATAGCAACGTTAACTCTATTACAGCGAAATCAACCAAAAAGATCTCATGACACCCTAAAATGAGGCAATCCCTTTGCATCCAATGAAGTGGGTGGCGTCCACCAAAGCTTATGGTCTAGTTACGGGAAAAATACGTTGAACACCTGGACCCTCTTCCAGGTGGATCTATGCCACCTTCCTCATAATGAGCCATCGTTTTCTATGCGCTATTCACTATATATATATTTTTGCAAACTTTACACAGGGGGAGGCTCTTCCCTTGGAGCTTCTAAAAGTAGCAGGGGAAATGGCTTCCAGCGAGATACCGGGAGCCTCTATTCATTTTGGCGGGGTGTTTTCTCTAGAACTGAACAATGGCATTCAGAAGGGCAAGCACTGCAAATAGCCAAGAGGTGAGTAATGTTACAATCAATGGCACGAACAGAAAAACAAGATGTTGGGGAGAGCAAAGACGAACAATACGTTGCAGACGTTCTGTAATTCTTACACCCACCCCGGTCCCCAAATTGTAATGGGCTAAATTTAGTCCCTACCCATCTTTTCTTGAATCAGTTCCCTTGTTTGGAACTGATTTTCCCCTGACACTCCCTTTACCCCAATGTCTATGTATGTATCTCAAGATGCAGAATGAAAATTTCATATTTAGAGCACATATAGTTTAGCTGGAGGACGATGTGCTTTGAAGAGCGTGAGAAGCCCTCATCTTGTGTGTCTAAATTAGAAGGGTGCAGAGTGGGGATTCTGGAGGACAGCTCCACAAGAATTATGGGAGTTGTAGTCCAAAAACAAAAATCTTCACAGTATTCGCGAAGGCTTTCACGAACGGGGTCTAATGGTTGTTGTGGGTTTTTCGGGCTCTTTGGCCGTGTTCTGAAGGTTGTTCTTCCTAACGTTTCGCCAGTCTCTGTTAGTTGGCTTGGCAGTATACTACACCAGAGCACAGAGTGCTGTCCTCTGAAGATGCCGGCCACAGAGACTGGCGAAACGTTAGGAAGAACAACCTTCAGAACACGGCCAAAGAGCCCGAAAAACCCACCACAACCAAAAATCTTCACACCTCTAAATAAAAGCCAACCATCTCAGATCCCAAGAAGTCCAAACAAGACTTCTAGTTAACTGATCTGGATGGCTTTCTAAGTGTTGAAGACTGGGTAGATATTTTCCTCCAGTGTCAATGTGGGACAGTTGGGAGTGATCTGGAAAGAATTTAGAAATGGAGCAGTCCTTCTCAGGGAAGAAACACACCAATGGATTTCCCTTGAGAAGCAAAGCTAATTTCAGGTGATTGTGAGGAAGGGGGAACATTCAGGAGCGCTGCTGCATAAGATGCTGGTACAATGCAGTTGGGTAGGGGAAATGCCCAGAAAACAGGAACTGTGCCAATAGGATAGGCTGGGCCCACTTGGTCTGACAGAACACTAAAATGCATGCAGTGTGCCTCAACATATATATGGCATGGCTATCTATTTGTGTGAGCAGAAAACCTCTACATCCACCTCCAAAGCACAAAAATTCAGACAAGGTCCAGAGGTGTTCAGATAAGAGTCAGAAAAGCAACTTTTTTCCACCACCTCTCCCAGAATTCTACAGCCAAGGTGGCCACTGGGAGTTGTAGTTCCATCTTTAACTTCTAGAAAAAAGTAAAGACCTGGCTCTTTATTCAGGGGCTTCTCATACTCTCCTGCCTGTTTAATGTTGGCCTCTGCATCTTTTTGATGACCTAATGTCTGTTCTAGGCTGACTTCTATAGTTTTGCTGCCATCTTTTATCTTAGTGTAGGATTTATTGTATGAGGTATAGTTAGGTTGGGAGGAGATTTTGTTGCATGTTTTATCTGATGTCGTCATTGAGTTTTAGTTTATGTCGAGGCCTGGATTGTAAATCGCCCAGAGTAGGAAGTAGCCTGGCCACTACTCTGGGGTAAGTAAGTAAGTAAATGTGTGGTTTTTATGGAACAGGTCCCCAGCAGCAGCTCAGGGACCTGTTCCTTCACTAAAGTAGGCAATCTACATACAGACGCAAGTGGAATGTTTTGAGAAATGTTATGTTCCATAAAAATTACTCTAATCCTTTTTTTGTGCCTGTTTTGCCTTCTGTTTTTACGTAATCAGCTGTACCGTACAAATCTTATCTTCACACACACAGGTACATGTGGCTCAGCTTTTCAGAGAGAAACCTAATTTTAGACTCTTCCAACGGAGATACAATACAAATTGGCTTGTGTTTTCAGGGGCCAAGTAGACTCTTGTTAGATGCGCAAGAAATTATGACAAATCAGATCAATAATTCAAGGGCCCATTTAAACTCCCCCCCCCCACCATTTGATCTGTGAAGATCAAAAGAGTTTGCAAACTCTCACAAGGTAAAGGACCTGCTGGCAAGGAGTTTTACTCTGCTGCTAATGATCTGTAGCTCAGATTGTTGAAATCCTACATAGCTCACAAACTTTCCCCAACCTGCTCCAGATGTAGGCTTACAGTTCCTGAACCCCCAGCCAACCCTGACTCTGGTGGACACCAAATGGTGAAAGCTCAGGAAGGAACAAATCTCATTCTAAAGGCAGAATAGATAATTTCTGTGCAAACATAGAGAGGTGTACCACATGTCTCTGCATGGACATAAAATAATCACATTTGATGTGCTCTGTTCTCTGGGGTGAACGCTAGAGCTCTATAACCACAAGGGTGGATAAAAATATTGATTTTTTTTTTCCAAAATCCGGTTGATTTTTATTAACCATTTCAATCATAGCTTTTTGTAAATCATGACTCAAAGCATGATTTAAATTTAAAAACTGACATTTTCATTTAAATCAAGCCCACCTCAGCAAGCCCGCAAGCGGCTGTTGCAAGAAAGACACACAGAGGATTCAAGGCCATCTACGAAGCCGTTGGCCGCCTTACCAGTAACGTTCTGTTGGACATCCAAGTTGACATTCACAAAGAACCTGATGCTGTCTCCAGATACGATGGAGGAATTTACAGTGTCAAAGAGCTCCTCTCCTCCAGCTTCTTCTTTGTTCTCGCAGCCATCGTCCGTATCGCATTTAAGGTAGCCTGCAACAGAAGAGCGAGTTTCATTCTAGGCTCAATGCTGCAACGCGAGTCAAGAAAACCAAGGGGAAAAAAATAGTCTTATTAAGCTGTTCCTGCTGGCGGAACAAAATGGCTGCTTTGTTCTCTGTGGGCTGTGTCTTTCACTACAGGCAGGTCACCAACCTATTCTTCAGACATGTCAAAGGACTCTCTGACTTAAGCAAAATGAAACACTGGAAAGAACGGAAGAAAGACGAAGAGTTCTACAGAGAGCTGTCGTGGGCCATTCACATCATCCTTTATTTTGCAAGACACGGACGCAAGGAAAAGCGGGTTTTAAGACAGGCCTTATAAAAATCAATGCGGTTTTGAAATCTAATTGATTTAAATCATGATTTATTTATTTATTTTAAATTGTTTTTTAAAGGGTCAAAAAATCAGATTTGCAAAGAAACTTGATTTAAATCAAAACCACTCTGGTTTAAAGACATGCCAATATGCAGTTTTTTAAAAAAAAATCCTCTTGAGGACAAAGAGAGTTAGGAATGCTATTTAAAAACAAGAAGAATAGTTCAGGTGTGTTACAGCACACATGCTCAACAGCATCCTTTGTCTAAGCCAACACAATTTTGTATTTTCAGAGACCTGCAAACACAACAGCAGCCAAGCACCAAGAGCATTTGGTTCAGGTGCAAAGCCTATGTGCCTCTACTACACAAGTGTCTTCTAGCAATATGTATGAGAACCAAATATTACACATATTTCCCTTGTCTTTTCAGAAATCTGGAGTAGCTGTTCCACAGCATAACCAGGTCACAAGATTCCCTACCAGATGGTTGTGCCACCATCAACCCCTGGCAGGATAGCTCAACAGGATATCCTCTCATCCTCAAACAAATGTCCTAGATGAAGGATTTTACAATGGAGATGCCATCTTTAATGGCATCCTTGTGTTACCCATTACTTCCAGCATTATTCTGATTCACCTTTAATTAGCAATGAACATTTCAGTTCATGCCTTCCTCTTCTTGAACAGCCTTGTAATCAGGACCAACTCAATTGATCAAGGAACAGGGATAAATGATGGGCAGACTATATCCCCCAGTTGGTCAACCTAAGCTTCACCTTGTCTGCCTTTATGTTCTTTATATTTCACGATACAAGGTACATTTCATGTACCTTGGCTCAAGGATCTCTGACACTCTCTCCCTGGATGGCGAGCTGGATAAACACAACGGCAAAACAGCCACCATGTTCTCTAGACTCACAAAGAGAGTGTGGCTTAATAAAAAGCTGACAGCATATACCAAGATCCAGGTCTATAGAGCCTGTGTCCTGAGCACACTCCTGTACTGCAGTGAGTCCTGGACCCTTTGTGCACGGCAGGAGAGGAAGCTGAACACGTTCCATATGTGTTGCCTACGACGCTTTTTTGATATCACCTGGCAGGACAAAGTTCCAAACAGAGCAGTCCTAGAACAAGCTGGAAGTTTTAGCATGTGTACATTACTGAAACAGTGACATCTATGTTGGGTTGGGCATGTCGTGAGAATGGCTGATGGTCGGATTCCAAAAGATCTCCTGTATGGAGAATTAGTGCAGGGAAATCGCCCCAGAGGGAGACCACAACTGTGATACAAGGAGATCTGCAAGCGGGATCTGAAGGCCTTAGGAATAGACCTCAACAGATGGGAAACCTTGACCTCTGAACGTTCACCCTGGAAGCAGGCAGTGCAGCATGGCCTCTCCCAATTTGAAGAGACCCTTGTCCAGCAGGCCGAGGCAAAGAGGCAGTCCCGAAAGCAGTCAAATCAGGGAGTTGGACAGGAGACAGATTGTATTTGTCTCCAGTATGGAAGGGATGGTCACTCTCGAATTGGCCTTCTCAGTCACAATAGATGTTGTTCCTAGACCTCTTCTCGAATTGGCCTTCTCAGTCACACTATATATTGTTCCTAGACCTCTATACAGAGTACGTTAACATAGTCTCTCGAGACTGAAGGATGGCTACACACATTTCACCATAACCACAGTACTTTTCAGAACATTAAGTAAGTCGGAAGATAGTTTTCTGAGACAAGCTAAGTCCCATGAGGTAGCTTCGGGAGAGGCAAAACATATACACGAACAAAGCTTTCTTTTAAAAGTTGATGGTTACATCCTGTTGTCTTCCAGCCATGTTCTGAACACATTTTCATCAATTATGCAGCTTCGCTGCAAGGCTTCATTTAAATATTTTACCTTGCCCAAATTACTCAATGCAATGCCTGTTTAGGACATGGAACTCATTAGTGCGAAAGGTCTTGACGACAGCCTTCAGCTGATCATGGGTTTTAAAGGGTGGGGGGAGAAGGAAAAGTTTGATTAATTCATGGATGAGAAAAACTCATGGGGTTTATTAGCCAAGAACAGCTAAACACAAGTTTAAAGACTATTCTCTACACGCGGGCTGGGGATTCCAAGCAGCTAATGTCCAAAAAGTTACTTTCACATCCTCTGCATAACTTCTATATTTGGAAGCAACAGACGTGAGAATCTTGGCATAGTGAATCCCATCATTCTGCCAAGGAGCTTTGGGCTACGCCACCCATAAGTTTTAACCCACATGATCTGTGGCAAGGAAGATTCATCCAAAACAGCTGGAGGGCCACTTGAACCTACCACAACCTCCAGATCCTGTGGGCAAGCCAGGGAAGATAGATAGCAAGCCACCTCCAGTTGCTCTCCATGCACCTTTGAAGCAACTGAGCCAGAACTTCTCTAAGAACATGAACAGAAAGAACCACCAGAATCACCAAGTTCCAAAGGGGATTTTCACACTTATCAATCAGCAGCGATGTTGAGACACCCCCCAACACAACGAGGACACTGACCATGAAATGGGGGATGAAGCAGCACATCTAGAAAACCACCCGTTGCAGTTAATTAGGAGACTCATTGGAACCTTTTCATGACCTGAAATTATTGGTTTACATCTAGACACCCAGCAGTAAGCCGTAAAGAACTCAGTACGCTTGCAAACGCGCGTTGGCCCCAATACCAGGTTTGCAAGCTTTTTCATTCGGAGAACATCCAAGATAAACGAGGCAGCCTTCAAGCTCCCAACGGGTTTGAAAGGACAAAGCGGTCCTTGGCTGGGGAAGGAGCAGACATGGTTGGAAAACAAGTGGTAGCATTCTATTCATATGGGACTGGCCATCTCGAGGACAGGAGGAAATGAAACCCTTTAATTTATTTTTTAAAGTTATCAGACCACCCTCAGCACTTCACGCACAGAAAGAAAAAGCGGTTGCTGTGGCTTTAACTCAAAACCAGAAGGTCTTGTGTGCCAGTTTGTTAAGCTGATGGAAAGATCCCCAGGTAGGTGCTCGTGTGTGTGTAAGGGTCACAGCTAGGCAGTCGTGCACAGAGAGGTGACAGTCTATAAACTGATGGTCTGGCCCTTCTATTCTCCACCCAGTCCCCCACTGCCATCATGTACGTCTGTCTGCCTACAAGAACTGCAGCTGATACATCCAGCCAATTTCTTAATCCCCCATCCCCAAATTTTGTACCAAAATAAACCTGGAGAAGATTTCTGGAAATGCTGAAAGCTTGCAGAGTCTGAATTTTTTCCCCCTGTGATCTCTTCCACGACAAAAGAGCGTTGGTTCTGCTCATCAAGAGTCTGGTGGCACTTCGAAGACTCAGAAGTTTGATTTGGCACCAGATGCTGTGGACTTCAGCCCACTTCTTCAGATGCAACAGGTTTCCAGTTATGCCCTGTTCCCATACCTGGGGAGCGCTTCATTTCTTAGTGCCTCCCAGCCAAACAGAGGGCAATGAGAAAGATGCCAAGGGACTGGAGGTTGTCTAGAGAGATGGAGAGTGGATGACCTTCCCTACATCCCTTGAGTAAAGCGTGATCCCTCAAGCTGACTCTACAAGGTTGCAGTCTCCCATTTCTCAGCATCACTACGAGACCATGGCCTTTACACATCTGGTCTCAGACATTTCGGGACCTCCAGAAATCAAGATTTTTCTTATCTCTCTTCCACTTTCGCAAAGGAGGCAACACCCAACCTAGTGGGCTGTCTTGTGATACTTAAAAACTAACCTGTTTTTGAGATTTCGTCCCAGTAAAGAGGTTCTGTAGTCATTAAAGAATTGGATAGTCTAGTGGTTGAGATCTCTGGCTGCGGAGCCAAAGGTAGGGAGTTCAATCCCCCGGGGTCTCTCCTTGACAGGGGCTGGACTCCATGATTTAGAGGGTCTAAGATTATTATGATTTATTATTATATTGTAACTGTCATGTGTTTTGAAGGCAACTTCTTCAGACCCAAGGGCCCCACACATTTCACCTGCCTCTTGTTAAGAGGGAGACAGAAGGGAGATGGCCTTAGATAGCCAGAGCCCGCATTGGGATAGCATTTCACTAATCCTACCGGGCAAGCCACCATGGATTGTTGGGCTGTGTGATGGAGGGATTTTAATTGAGAGGTGAACATAAGATTGTATTCTCCGTTGATGTCCGAGCAGATTTCATCTGAATGGAAAGATACAAATTAAATCCTTTTTTTTGGGGGGGGGGGAAATGAGTCAAAACCCTACCATTTACATCTTCAAATATGCATATTTATAACGCTGCTTGTAGCTATTGTTGTTTAGTCATTAAGTCGTGTCCGATTCTTCTTGACCCCATGGACCAGGGCATGCCAGGCCCTCCTATCTTCCACTGCCTTCCAGAGATGGGTAAGATTCACATTGGTAACTTCGATTACACTGTCCAGCCATCTCGTCCTCTGCCGTCCCCTTCTCCTCTTGCCTTCACACTTTCCCAACATCAGGGTCTTTTCCAGGGAGTCTCCTCTTCTCATGAGGTGGCCAAAGTATTGGAGCCTCAGCTTCAGGATCTGTCCTTCCAGTGAGCACTCAGGGTTGATTTCCTTTAGAATGGATAGGTTTGGTCTCCTTGCAGTCCAGGGGACTCTCAAGAGTCTACTCAACAACCACAATTCAAAAGCATTCATTCTTCAGCAGTC